GTTGATGCATGGGCGGGCCATGCGAAGCGTCTTGCTGAATTTTTGGAAGCCGGCAGCAAAGACCTCATGCTTTCTCCAGCCGATACTTCTATCTCGGAGAAGCTCTGGGGATGTCGTGTTTTCCAAATCCGACAAAGTCTGCGGCTGCTACCAGCACCATCAACTACACAGTCGTGCTGCGTTGCAACCGAGACTTCTTGCAACCAGACAACCGTAGCAGTGGGTTGTGAGGTATCGCCAGCAGCCAGAAAGCAAGAATCGCAGGATTTACATCTAAGATCTGTGACGCAGGACGAGTGTGCTGATTGTTATGGAGGAAGCACATGTCCGCTTTCAGTGGACATCATTTATGCACTGCCAGGATACTTCTTCGATGTTGAGTATCTTCAGACTCTTGCCGCAGTATGCCGATTACTCTTGCTTTCGGCGCAAAGCCCCGAGCATTGGAATAACAAGACTGTGCACGTGGATCATATCTCATTGGCCGAAAGGTTGAAAATGCATGTTGTGACCAGATTACTTGCCGGTGCTCGGCATGTCTGCGTGAGTGTTTCACAAGTGGTTCAGTTCCTCGAGCTGCCAGCCAATGCAAGGTTGTCTTGGAACCCTGCGCAGTATCCTGCAGCTATGCGTCACAACAACTTCATGTTCGGTTTTCAGTCAAACTCACCGTTGATGGGGTGTGCAGATTTCAAGGTCTTGTTACCGACTACTGCGCGTGGCTTTTACGTCGGAATGCAAGACGCGCACAGACGCAGCAGAACATATTATCGGGTCGATAATCTCTTTACCGACAAGATCAGCTGGTCTGTTTCGTTCAACAACGCAGCACCCCGCATGCTTGCTCACGGGCTTTCTCCTCTACCAGACCAAGAGAATTACTTCTCCCTGCGGTGGACTAAGCGCACATTGAGTATTTCTCTGAACAACCTGCACGTGTTGTCGGAACGTCTGCCAGGGCTCGAACCGGATGCGTCTCCAACTCTTTCTCACATATTCATGTGGGTCTTTGGAGGAGCCAGCGTACAAGGCTCCGAAACAACAGTCACAGCGCTTGCCTCGAGGATGGACTTGGAAAGCGACATCAGGTGCGCCTTATGTTTCCGAGAAGACTTTTTCAGGACTGGGCGCTGGGCTGTATGTCCAGTGTGTTATACATGGGTATGTTCAGCTCACGTGCGCAAGAGTCCCCTCAGATTGTGTCGCGGTTGCGTTGGTCAACTTCAGGACTATGTTGGTGGAAGCCGTCATAACACGACGCAGTATGAAGACCTACCGGTGATTTATCAGGTTTCTGATCGCGTCCGAGAAATGCGAATATACAGGTTCGGTGAGCGCTTGAATTGTAGGTTGAGATGCCTACAAGGCGAAGTCCCAATGCACATTGTCGAGACTGCGTGCAACAATGCCAGCCTGCAGATCTGCGCCCTGCCAGTTCATGTGACAGACAACAGACGTACCTTACTGTTCATGGCCACTCCGTTTTTCCCAGCAAGCCAACATCGCGTTACCTACTGCCTTTTCAGTATAGGCGACCAGGGCCTGGAACATGCAGTGGTAGTGCCTTTCTTGCCTCGCCCAAGCTGGGATGGTCTTTGGGCATATCTGGATATTGCATATGGTTTACTGAAACCAAGAAACGTTGCTTTTGAAATTGAGTCGAGTGGCTTTTGCTTTCGCGAAGGCGACGATCTTGCTTGGCTACCGCCTCAGGGAGTTGCGAGGCTTACAACAGCGCCGAATGAAACAATGCAGATACAGTTGCCGCCCTTCAATGGCATGCAGCCACGCTGGCCAGATCAAGAGGAGATTTTTGTCAGGTGGTACGAAAGCCATGCCACTGTGCTCTCAATACGTTTCTGTGCTCAACGACAAAAATGCAGTCTTTGCAAGAAGCCCCTGGCAGACTTTCCTACAGAAAAGTATCAACGACTGGCTCGCGAGGGTAGACTTGGGTGCGAAGTAATGAATATTTGTGGACTTGTTACCCATCAGATACGCTTTCATGAGTCGGGGAGACACATTCAGCGCGCCATGAAAGTGCCATTGTGCGTGCACCCTTCTCTTCTGGAGCTGCATTTCGGAGTCAAGTATTCTTGGGGCCACGAGGCTAGACAATTTGAGCTTTTGCCAGGCTCTTGCACAGGCGTGCCGACGTGGCAAGCATGCAGTGTTGCTGGAGGCTTCGCAGCTGCGCAAGGTATGTCTGGCGACCCCTGGGAATTTGTGGATCAGGAGATTGGTGCTGCGGCGTCTGAGCTGTCCAGAGAAGTTGCTCTCACTGCTGAAGAAGGAGGCAATGTGGATGTCAGTGGCTGTCGATGGCCTCGATCTAGAGACACACGCGGTGGATCCCTGCCCATTGACATCGTCCTGCGGCTACCCCTGTACTATTTTTCTGCGCAATATCTTCGCAGCGTGGCTCTATGCTCACGGGCTATGCTACGAGCAGCGAAAGATCCAGCAGCTTGGGCCAACGCGGTTATTTGTGTTACGGACGCAGAATTTCAATCCCTTGGCCCACTCCGGATCGCAGAGCAGCTTTGGAGGTTTGCAAGTCATGTGATCCTGACTATCCCTCAGCTTGCCGGTGTTTCTCGTATTCCCCGCAATTTCCGGATCCAGTGGTCAGGGTGGCATGTTCTCTGGCCGAGTCACTCAGAACACAGAGTACATGTCTGGGAATCACAAACTCTTTTGGGTTCTGCTTGCTTCAATCTGGTCGCACCTGCGTTTACAGAGACTTTATACATCGGAGTTCATGCGCCTGAGAATGACAGGCGATGCTATTGCAAGTTGACTTGGCCATTCACTGCTAGGATGACCGTGGACTTTGGTCTCAATGGCAGTGCTCCTGTGCGCAGGACATCACAACTGCCAAGTCTTCGTTTCAGACCACAGCACGAGGTGTTGCTGCTCTGGAATGCGCGTGAGTTTTCCGTGCATTTGGACACGGTGTTGCTGTCCCATGCAACGGTTCTCGACGGTGTGCCTGATGCTCCGCCCGAACAGGCCAGAGTTTTTGTGTGGGCCATCGTGACTCCGTGTCCCATTTTGAGAACTCCCATGGTGGTAAGGCCTCTGTTGACATCCATTGACCGCAACGTTAGCGTCAGATGCCATGTGTGTGGCTTTCAAGGCTCGATTTGCCCCAGGACCTGGGGAGTCTGCACCTTGTGCCAGAGTTGGGCGTGCTGGGAGCATATCCAGAGAAACCCTTTGCGGAGATGCCCGCTGTGTGTAGCGCTGCTCGAAGATTATTTAGGTGGAAAAACTGTAGAGACCTCGGCTGCTGAGCATTTGGCCGAGCTGTTGATCCGGGATGACGAAGAAGGAGACTTTGTCCTTTTTGAACCTCAGCCTGTTCAGGCCCAGGCTGACTTCGTTGACTGGGAAGGTTTCTGGGATCTTCGACCAGACTGGCTACTAGAGCAGTGGCACGCTCGTCAAGCTGGGTTTGCGTCGGACACACAGTGCCTAGGCGTTGCGCTTCGGTATAAGTAAGTTATAGTTTCGCTCGTAATGGCAATTTGAAATGACATGCTTCGCTCTGCGAAACCGTCTGCGTGACTTTGGGATGGCTTCAGGCCAGACACCCTACGTGTAAATGTCGATGGAGAGAGAACGCCGTCCCGTGGTGAACAATGGAACTTTATGGTTTCGCATAAACCCTTTTGTAATATTCAGTTGATGCACTGAAACATGTAGGAGGCAGCTGCTAGAGTTCCAAGCTAAGACCTGGAGATATCCGTGACGAATCGCTTCCAGCTATCGGCGTCCAACAGGAGACAACGTCTCATGATTCTGGAAGGTTTCTTGCGCAAGGCACATGTTGCAGAGATTTTGTGCTGGCGTCTGTGAAACTTGCTTAAGAAGATCTAAGGTTGGGTATTTTTGCTGGGGCTGCCCGTGATGTCCTCGGTGGCACCAAGAGGCTTCAGGAGGAGGAGAGAACGCGGTTACAGAAGTCCAAGATGGAGGCTTTCAGGCGGAAGGCGAGCCGGATCGCCGAGATGGCGGAAGGAAGCTTCTTGCCGCGACCGATCCACTCAGGGCGTCTGAACTTTCCAGCCTCTCCAGCTGAGTATGACGCTGCTGCAATTCCAGACGTGGACGTGTTGAAGTATTTGCATTGCCACCCCAGGGACGCTTGCGTTCGGTTTGAGCCTGTAAAGCATGAGTACTTCGTTAACGGTGTGAAGATGTCGTACTCCGTGACGGGCCTGATTCACAGGTTTTCTGAGGCGTTCCGCGCTGATGAAATCATCAACAACATGATGAGGGGACACAACTGGCCTAGGCCCGGATATCTGCGTCCAGAGATATGCTTTGATGCAATCGCGCGGCTGCATTTGCTACATCCAGATTTGCTTCCGTTGCTCGCGGGCAACCCTCGTGATGAGCCTCGAATCTGCGATGTGCTGCGCAGACTCGCGCGAGTCCATGATCTGAATGAAGACATTGCAAGGCTGTCTTTGACTCCAGAAGAGATCAAGCAGAAATGGGCAGCCAACGCTCAGGCGGCCTCACACTATGGGACGTACATGCACAACTTGTTCGAGGCGTTCTTGAACGGCTATGAAGTTCCAAATTCTTCTCCAGAGTACCGTATGCTCCAGCAGTTCCTGGCAACTTTGCCGAGTGACGTTACCGCTTGGCGCACTGAGTGGGTCATCTACGGTGAGGAGGAGGGTCTTGCCGGTTCGATTGACTTTTGCGCCAAGAAAGTTGACGGGACATTCGTGCTCGTTGACTGGAAGCGCAGCGCAGGCCTTCCAGAGAAGTGCACCTCCGGCAAGAGAATGCACGCGCCGCTGGATGGTCTGCGTGACTGCACAGTCATGCACTATACATTGCAGTTGAATGCCTATAGGTATCTGCTTGAGAAGTACTATGGTGTTTCTGTCTCTGAGATGTACATCGTTTGTTGTCATCCAGAGCACGGCGACTTCCCATGGATTTACCCCGTATCCACACTGGACGCGGAGGTGCGGCGTATGATGGAGCCTTTGATTGGTTTTCCTGACGCCATAGGTGGATCAGCGCTGTGGGTAGCTGAGGCATGCTGGTCCATCCTTGCGTGCCATTGCGAGAAGCTTCAAAGCAATTTTGGTTCACGGCTACGGGGCGTTGATGCCCAAGCGCTGGTTCCTCGGGCTGAACGTCGAAGATGCGGCAGATCACACTTGGAGCCTCAAGACCTTCAGGGTGGATCTCTTCCATACGATGTGCTGCAATCCGTTAGCATCAGCTTTTCTTGTCCGGAGCACATGTTGCAGTTGCAGGCCTGCTGCCGCAGGCTGCGAGAAATCCTTCTGGACCCAAGGGCGTGGCGACACCTTTCCATTCACCTGGACACCTTTTCCAACGTCAGCCTCTGCCAGTTTGCCAGGTCAATCAGGTTCATACCTGTGTGGTCTGAGGCTAGCGAGATTGTCGTCTGCAATAGACATCTGGGAAGGTTGCCGCTGTCAGCGCTGCCGCAGAATCTGTCCTTGGCATGGTCGCTGCGCCAGCCCGAAATTTCGAGAGTCTTCAGACACGCTTGCTTTTCGTGGGAATCCACTGAGAACCTGTTCGGGAGAGCAGCGTGTGCCTTGCAGATCAGGCAGGCGTGCGGGCTCCTGCTTGTTGGTATCAAGAAGAGAGATGGCTTGCACCCTTGGCCGTTGCTAAGCCAGCCCAGAGCTATCTTCTGTCGCATTCGCAAACCTTTCGAGACTGACATGGAAATCAGTTTTGGCAGAAGCGACGACGTACCTGTGCCAGCGCTACGCATAGGCGGACCTCTCCCAGGCAGACGTGATGAGCATCTCGTCGAGGTTCGGTGGGACAGATGGACGATGTGGGTTGTGATTGATGGAGTTGCTCTACCCGCTCTCCAAGTACACCCGCACGTGCAGCAAGAACTGGGAGTGTTCACCAAGTTTTTTGTTCGAATCTTTGCTCCTGCCACAGCGTCGCAGGCTGGATTTACAGTGCGGCCAACTCCATGTCCTGTGCAAGCAAATTCACCTGTCAGTTGCTTCAAATGTCAGCGAGTGATACTGCTTGGGTCAGGCAATGTCAAAGCGTGCAACCATTGTTCGGAGTGGTTCTGCACGCAACATAGAAGTCTCATCGACAACCAGCAGATCTGTCAAAATTGCGCAGCTGTCTGGCAGGACGCCGTAGGAGGTTCGTGTCCGCGCTCTGACTCGTTGATGTGCTCCTGCGCGGCTGCAGACTGCAATCTGTCAGGCTACCCGTGCTCAGAACAAGCAGAAGTCAAGCGTTCTATCTGCGAACGAACGCACGCCCTCGTGCAGTCTCGATGGACTGTTTGTATCCTTGCTGGCACACGGTTGTGCCGATCACACGTCGAGATAGTACCATTTTCTAACTGCCCCACGCAGCTTGATGACTATCTCGGCGGCAGTTTGGTGCAGCAGTCTGATGTCTACACCATCACCTGCGCGTATCAAACGGCCTGCAGCATATGGCAGTCAATCGAGAGATCGGGCCCCCTCGACACAAGCTACACATTGGAAGCTACAGAATCATCTGACGGTCGAAGCAAGTCCATGGCTGTTATTTGCGACATCATGCGGGAACGTTCTGCTTGTCTGCGGCAACACCCCATGGCTGTTCATTTCTTACCACATCCTGCTGAGCGAGGAACCATGTCCAAACGCGCGTGGGAAGTCCTGATGTACAGAGCAAGAACTTTCTTGGGCTTACTGGATCAACAGCAAGACTTGGTTCTCTTCATGTACACGCATGCAATCGCTGCTGCAAGCTTGCCAGCAAGTCAGTCTTCATTTATGCAAAATCTACCTCATCCAAACGATGCCAAGGATAACATAGTCGCATGGAGAACTGATGCCTGCCACTGTGCCTTGCGGGTACATGTGGCGATCGCACGGTGTCGGAAAGAGCGGAGCGCGTACTCAGTACATCCCACACCCGCGCAAGGGTTGCACCCTGCGGACAAGGGCTCTCTGTCTGCTGACAGCTCTCGGCTGCACGACTATGCAGGTGGCGCATCTCCTGCTGCAAATGTGGCAGCGTCACAAGACAGTTTTGCTGCCCGCGTCGATCAAGAACTGCAAGAAGAAATGGCAGGGACAGACATGGCTTTAGCAGATATCAAGGAAGAGCGAATCGAAGCAGCTGCTGCAAACATCGTCCTTGAAGGACCAGAGGACGCGGACGACAAGGTTTGGGAAGTTCTGAAAAAACGGCGTCTGTTGCCTGGTGCTGCGACGTCGGACCAGGACTTTGACAGTTTGTTTGCTGGCTTAGAAGCATCCCGAGTTGCGTTTCAGAATGATCCCGCCGATCAGGCTGACCAGTCAAACAGCATTCCTCAAATAGTTCAGAAGCACAAGTTCCAGATTTCAACAGACTTTCCGGATCTGTCTGAGTACATGACGAACCTTATGACAGCTGCAGTTGCAGTTCTGAGCTTACGGACCGTTGATGTGTTTCAGCGCGAGAATGCCATGATGCTGTTCATCATCGAGGGTGAGAAGTATATGCGGTTCCACCATGGGGACTGCTACGTCCTACATGCAAGCGGGGCTTTCCAACACTACAAAGGTCTTCCTCTTGACTGCAGCCGAGTTCATAGGTTTCTTCTGCATCTAGAAGGACTGTCCACGTAGCTCTTGTTTGCAGGGTTGTTCCTGCCACGGAAGACAGTTGGCTTTTCTCGTGTGCACGATGCTTAGAAAGCCTGCGAGGACTTTTTCGGATACTGCCGCAAGGCACTCGCCGTGTAGAGCAGGAAGTTCTTCAAGCAGTGTCACTGCTGCTGGAAGGCTCCGATTGCGAACAAGCGTTACTTGAAAGATGCCGCATCGCCGCAGCCAACAACCAGGGTGACGCGCTGCTAAAAAGCAGAAGGGCAAGCCAACAGGCCGATGAGCAAGACGAGGTACCCGCCGGAGAAGTCCCAGCCAACCACTGGCACATCTATTGCGCTCGCATGATCATTGCACTCAAGCGCAACATCATTCGAGACCTCTCGGACGAGAAGCTAATTTCGTACATGGTCGAGTTTTGTGAACGACCCATGAGTCATGTTCCAGGCTGCTGCTACAACGACTACTGTGTCGAGTATCCCAACAATGGATCAGCTCGGCAGGCCGGCGCAAAGGAAATTGTTCTTGTTTTGTTTGGCAGTAGCTCTGGTGTGCTAAAAGCGCAATCGCAACCAGCGGCCTTGCAGAGGTGGAGCGATCAAGCATCAGGGACATTTACACGCACATTCCGCACAGCATCAAAAAGTTCGTGCCAGACCATGTCATGACACGCCTCACAAAGTTCTATCGACAAACTTTCTGGAGCAACGTCGAGGTTTTCAAGTGCTGCCAAGCTGCACAGGCTACTGGATGGCATTGAGCTTAGAACGTTCGTAGCTGTCTAGCAGGAAAGCAAGTTGCGGCGGCTTCTTTTTGCGATCAGGCCCTGGCGAAGAGAGGCATCAACGTCGTGCGGCTCTTCATAGGACTTTCATCCGGCGGCGTTGGTCAGTCCTTATATTCGGCGCATCTAGAGGACAGACGAGCCGACCTGTGTTTGTTCATAGGCTTGCAGACCAGCACACACCAGCACGGCAACGATTGTCCGCGCTTGTTCTGGGGCAGGCAATGTACGTCCACAACTTTGCCTATTTCGACCCGCAAATTTGGTTTAATGAAGAAGAGATGCGCAAGCAAGTCGAACAGCTCAATGGCCGGTTTGTTCTTACAGGACTGCAGCTGATTGCAGCGTTATCCTCATAGCGCCTGAGTCTTGACGGGTTTGTTTCATGGTCCACGCAGGTCAAGAAGCACCTGGCACCAATCGGCGACTCCGCGAGGATCTCTACAAGAAGTTCATGTCAGGCGAAGGCAACGTGTCCAGGGCGACGTGCCTAAACTTCGAAACGAACCGCCTATAACCTACTACTTACTACTGCTTGTGTTCTGGATTCTTGGCTGTGGGCAGGCATTACCGGCCGCAAGCCGTATGGCCTCAGAACGCGGATGATTGAATGCAAAGGCTGGAAGCGGTTGGAGGCGAACCGCCTTTTCCAGTTTCTGAACGTGACGCCCCGGGACTTCAATGCCATTCTGAGGCGTGCTCTAGTCTTCCGGATCAAAGCGCGCTTCGAGGACCCCAGGGCTATTGACAGTACCTTGGCAAAGAATTGCGGTATTGAGCACTGAGTACATAGCGCGACCTATGCCTGCTACAAAAACATATAAGTCAGGCGCGTATGAGGACATTGACAAGGACGGCATCTTCGCCAAGGACCAGGAGCTCAAGGACTTCTTGACCTCGCCTCAGGCGATATGCGCAGCCTTGCAGCTGCAGCATGCCTTCGAAACGCAGCACAACCAACAGGACTTGGACTTGGAGCAGGGGTTGTCCCACTTTTGTTTCGGGACTGCGCGCAAGTCACACGTGTATGTGCGTCGCAGGATTGTCTACAGATGATCGAGAACTACGCGCAGTGGGGCGGTGATCATGGTTTGACCGAGAAAACCATGCGAGAGGCGTGCGGCATGAAGCCACGCGACATAAGAGGAATTGCGCGCCGAGCGCACACTTTGATTGTCCTTGAGGAGGACGAAAAGGACTCGGACGACGATGATGTGCAAAGGCACTGGGACACAATGCGCACGTTCCTCGTCAATCATCTGCTGGGTCTTCGGCGCTTCGACGTAACAAAGCCGATGCTGTTGCGCATGAAGGTTCCTGCAGGGCCGAACGTCTCCAGGGAAGAGCTGGTCGACCAACTTCTGCGCAACAAGGTCATTGTCGAGTCAGCTTCTCGAGGAAAGACTCTGGAGGTTTACAGGCCAGCGGTCGAATGCCTCAATCTCTGTTCTGTCTTGGACTGGAAGAACCTGGAGTCAGAGTCCACATTTCCAGAGCTACTTCACTTGAAAAACTTTGCAGAATATGTCCGAGGCTGTGACGCTAGGCGGGAGAATGCGTACCTGTTGGGCGCCTTCTACCAGGCGGCCAAGAATCCCACTGTTCGCGGCCGGCCATCAAAGCAACTTGCGAGGAACCTGGACAGAAGTGCTGAGGCGCAGAAAAAAGGGCGCAAGATATTGGACCAGGAAGAACTGTTCGAGGTAATCCTTGCAGACCTGGCCGACGATGTCGGACAGAGCCAAAGCAGCCAACGCATGCAATCAGAGCCCGCCAAGAGACGCCGATGCTTGCCCGAAGTGAAAGAAGAAGGGAGGGAGGCGAAGCCATGTGTTCAAGAGATCGTCCATGTTCAGCGCTCTTATTCGTATTCTTCAGCTGTGTCATTCAGATCCCGGAAACAAGTGGTCGGCCTTGGTGTGCAGCGTCTATGCAGGCGTGCGCAAGTTCGTGTAGCTGCCGGAACTGTGGATCTGGACGTCGAGAATGCTCTTTTCACACTGATGCACCAGCTCATTACAAGGCTTCAGCTCCGGCCAGCTCCGCCCAACGATGTGACAGAGACCATTCGCGCGTGCGCTCAAGACCGTGATCGCGTGTGTAAAGAAATTCTGCAGCTTTCCAAGGTTGGGAGTTTACAAGTTTGGGAGATATTTGTCGTGTAGCGCAGGCAGCCGTTTCTTGCTTTCGAGTTACAGTAATTCCTAGATCGTCCTCTGGCAATCTAGCATGCTGCTGCAATTATCGACTGACCCTGCAGGAAGAGGGAAAGGCATTGCTTATCAAAATCTTCAATGGCGCCTCAATTCCGGACTCTGTGCAACATGGAAAAGCTTTCCTCCAAAGCCTCTCGAAAGCGGCGCTGTATTTGCGCTGGGCTGTTGTCTTGATGTTCCCAGACGAGTACGCTCGCTTTCAGGAGCCGGACGCGGAAAAGAATAACCCAGAGGCTTCACTGCTTTCGCATCTCTACTACATAGTAGAAGATGTGGTCCTTTCGGCCATGGCAGACGTCCTCTTGCAAGGTTCGCCAAAGCATCTATCTCTTCACTACGACGGTGTTCGTGTTTCGCGGCCTGAAGGCAAAAGCGTCGAAGATCTTTGCAAGAGCATCCAGCGACGTGTGAAGGATGCAACTGGATTTGAGGTTGTGCTTCGAGAGAAGCGTCATCGCAGCGTTCTGCAAATCCTATCCGACACAGCAAGGTCAAAAGTCGGTTCTTCGTTGCCAATGGAATCTGTGCTGCGGCAAAATGGCAACTGCATCCCTGCAGCTGTGGCTCTCCTTCTGGCGAAAATCTCAGACGTGGAAGAGGCGCTGTCAGACAACGGTTGCAGAGAAAATGCCAGCTTCAAGAAGCGTGCTCTGCGATCATATAGAGATTGCGCAACTCTTCTACATCTACAATTCTTGCCACAGCCCGATCTGAGTCTAGGATGCTGGAAGCCTGGGAACTTTTTGCTGCATGTGGAACACGAAGGACAACCTCATTGCGTCGGCTTGCGTGTCAACAGCGTGGAGTCTATAGACGTGATTGACGCGTGCGGCGAGTCCCGGATAGACTCTTCTATCTTAGAGGAGGCATTGACCGCTGGACTGGACGCGTGCTCTGCAATGGTTTTCAAGATATGCAAGAGTTCAGATACTGTTCAAACATCTGATCTCTGGAGCTCGGAAGCTCTAGACAAGCTGTTGGATCTTGAAGCCAGAGCTGGGCGACTAGCCGACAATACCTTGAAAGAAGGGAGGCCAGCAATCGAGCAGGATGACGTCGTAGCGTGTGTGTCGTCGGATGATGTCTCTGCGCTGATAGAAGTGAGCTCTGAGAGCTCTGACGATGGAAAGTCTCTGCAAAAACATTGGTTGGATGAAGCTGCGCAGGTTCTTACCGATAAGCAGCTTCTCGATGACATGAAGGCAGAGATAGAGGAGTTCCTAGCCAGCGGAAGTTCGCATTGCTTGGTTAGGACAAAGCAAGGGCTCCGATGTCCTTTCTGTCCATGGCGCTGTTTCAGGTGTGAGTCACGCGTGCTGCAACATGTTCGAGATCATCACACCAGTCAGCGGCAGTACTGCTGTTCTGGTACCAAGCAAGTTCGAGTAATCTTGGCCTTGCACGACGCAGACATGATATCTGGTGTCCGAGATGGTGCCTATGTTCAACGCAGCGCTTCGCTGCTGAGGGAGTGGCTGGTCTTAAGAGGTAATTATAGTGTTCTTCCTCCTAACTTCAACTAACGCGGTCGCCCCGCACAGCAGATGTCACTTTTGCGCGTCCCAGCTCCAGCCCGCAAGGCAGGTGAAGCCTGGCCTATCGCACACTCAAAACCATATCGACCGCAAGTTGAGGGTCGTCTTGGCTGCGACAGGACGACTTCCAGTTGTCAACCACGTAGGGCCGTAGGAGGCGCTTCTCTGTGTCCTTGCAGAACCAAGATATTATATATTAGTGTTTGCGTGCCAGTTTGCGAGGACCGTCCTTCGTTCGGGCAGACTCCATCAAAGATCGACGCGTGCGCAGAGCGGGTGACTTGTACTACACGCATTGCTTCGCCGAGAAACTTTTCAAAGAGACACTGCTCAACTCCGGCAAGGCGTGTTTCTGTCATGAGTTCATTGTGGGCTTTGTTTGAGCAGCGTCTCGTAGGTAGGCAATGTGGTGTTCCCAACCCTTCGTCCAGCAGGTGCAGGCAGTTTGGACAAGAATGGTTCTGGATGCTTCCGTGGCTGGGAGCAAGCTTGTCAACCTGTTGCCGCAGCATAGCAGTGCTTGGTGGCCGATGGTGGAGGATATCTTTAACTCCAGCCAGTGTTGCAGGCTAACCAATCGCCTGCTAATGGAGTGCGTGGAGCACAAAGAGTTCACGTACCTCTCCATCGACGGGACAGTCAAGTGCACGATGCCTTTGCTCGGACAGCCCAAGCCTGGCAACTACCGAGCCGGAAAGGAACCGTTCTTTCTTGAACCTGCGGACAGGATTCACACCGTTGTCACGGCAAGAGGCCGCTCCGGTGCAGTGGTCGGTCTTTGGCCTTTGTTTTCTGAGAAGGCAGAAAATTTGCAACATGCTTTGGCTGCGCATCTACCTCCGGCTGCCCTAGCCCAAGTGCAGAGCGTTGCTACTGATGCACCATCGTCGCACTTGTATACCGTGTTGAAGTCGATGATGCCTGGCTTGGAAGCTCTCTGTTTGGATCCCGTTCATCTTGCAATCAAATACGAGTACGGCACGGGCCGCCACCGTACTCGGGGATCCAGGCAATTGCGTGCGTGCCTCAGCAAGTTCAATGCTGCTGATGCGAACTTCGACGCACAGCACTGGGGACCGCTATTCACTGGTCAGTCTTGCAGACAACTTTCCGCTCGAGAAGAACACATGAAGAAGCAAATCCTTAATGGATCCATGCCTGCGGAAAGAGCTACCTGCGTCTTGAAGCAAGCCGAAAGCAAGGCGGTGTGGCCCACCCGAGCTGAGTTTATGGAAGCATTAGCTGCGATTACTGCGCTTTTCTGGGACGAAGTCAACAGGAAAGGTGAAAAAAAGGGCACGCGTATTGTCGAGCACCTGGCGTACGCGGCCGAGCCGGAAAGATTGGAGTGGCTCTTCAACAACCTCCGTTTCAGAGCCTCTCAAAGTAGATCCACGCTCAGCCTTCTTTCATCCGGCACGACATCGAACGAGGCTTTGCATGCTGAGATCCGTGCCTGGTTTCGGCAGATTCAATCACTGCACCAGTCATCTCTCAAATTGAAGTGTCAGGTGTTTTTGGTACGCAAGCTTCTGGAACACAACACTGCGTTGTATCGGCCAACTTCTCGGCAAATGACGCCAGGACAAGTTCTGGCCCGCAGGCTTGGCCAGTCACTTTGGACCGCGTCTGCTTGGCGAAAGCAAACGCAGCAGAAGTCGCAAGAGCTTCCATTGAACAAGCTGCGGAAGCAGCATGCGGCTGAGCGACGAAAGCTCGTTCTGAAGCGACCCGGCGTACTTAAGAGAAGGATGATCGGCAAACAGCCGCCGCCAGGTCGAAAGAACTTCGGTGTGCAGAAGAAGCGGACAGCATTTAACCTACTACGCGCTCGTGGCGTTCTGCGCCAAGGTGTCGCAAAGCGACGCCCAGCAGCTTCGTCTGAACGATGACCTAGTCTCAGGTAGGAGAAGGGGGGCCCTGTGAAGGTGCAAGGGTCGATGTCCCCACGGGTCAAGGGTCCCCCTAATCCTATCCCCTACTAGCAAGATTGCGCAGAACCTTCGTGCGTCTGGCGCGTCAGAAAAGGCTGGTTTCTGTGTCATGACAGAAGGCGGCTTGGAGAATACAGAGTGTGTTACTCCAGAAGGTACAGAGCAGCAGTCTCTAAACAATGCGTCAACGCTAGGTTGTTTCAATGTCGGTGAGCATCCGCGGCGCCCACGGCCATGTCCCGTTCGCCCGTCCAAGTTGATTGGGGTAAGGATACACGCTTCGCGCGTGCAGCGTCGGCTCGAAGCTACAGCTAAGTCGCTTGCTCCACGGAGCCGAAAGTTCTTTTGCCCTTGTGGCTGGTAGCCCACAGGTGTATGTGTGTGGTTGTAAGCGCTGGTTCGGTTGGACTGGTCGTCCTTTCAGTGAGCATGTGCGCTCCAGTCTCGCCTTAGGCCATTTAGGTGGGGGTGCGCACGTCGTACACCTGGTTACATGCACGCCCGAAGTTCGGGGTCTCATGTAGCAAGAACTGGACGGCGCCAGTCATGAGATATGCGCCACCTTTCCACAGATAAGAAAAGAAGTGCCGAGCCTGCGAGGTTAGTAAGGTTTATTGGAAGTACTGAGAGGCTCCCGTGGAGCGATATTTGCGGACATCGTGCTTGCGTCCTCCGTGTGAGAACAAAGAGGCTTGGCGCCTTTCTGGTTCAGCTTGTCTTCCATTTGGTCCCTGGTGGCTTCTCGAGCAATCTAATTCCTTGCTACGTGTGGTGGGGGCCGGGATATGGCGTGGCTCTGAGCATGCCTCACGTGGCTGCGCTGGCGTTGTGGATGTTCCCAGCCCATAATTGCATTGCAGCAGCAACCCTTCACTGGCTCCTGCGTCAGGAACGGCGGCTGGCACGCGTGCCAGCATTAGGATCACATTTGTACTTGTTCTTATGCCAAGGGGCTATTGTTGTGGGCAGTCTTGCATAGGTGCCTGCGATGCCTCATTCCAATCAAAAAGGGTGTTCGGATTGTAGTAGAAAATGCGTTGGGATCATGGATGGGAGCATGTAGTCTTGGGAATGATCCAGATATTTCAAGTTATTGGTCAACATACCATTTTCAACGATATCGAATCTTCATTTTATATTCTTCTGGAGTGCTATAAATTTCATTAGATGATTTTCGATTTAGGTTTGGATTTTATCATATGATGATTATGGCAAATTTTTTTGAAGATGAAATATTGCCGAATGATATGATGGACATTGATGAGGCTACACATAAATGTAAGAGGAACCTGTCTGTACGCGCAGTGGAGAAATGTTCGCGAAGCCATCCTCGATGAGCGCCGTGCAAAGAAGCTGCGCGCCGAGGTCGAGTTAGTGGTGTAGGGCTTTTCGTGTTGGGATCATGCATGGGAGCATGTAGTCTTGGGAATGATCCAGATATTCAAAGTTATTGATCAATATACCGTTTTCAACGATATCGAATCTTCATTTTATATTCCGTCGGAGATTCATGTTATAGATCCATTAGAGGATTTTCGATTGATTCGGATTTTATCATATGATGATTATGGCAAATTTTTCTTGGAGATAAAATATTGCCGAATGATATGGTGGATATTGACATTGATGAGGATATATATATATACATATGTAAGAGGAACCTTCTGTACAGGGCTCAGGGGAGTCTAGGCGATAAACCCGAACCTCTGGAGATCTTATCTACCTTGAACCCGCCCAGGGAAGTTAAAGCCCCATTACTTAATGAATATTCCAAAAATGATCTTAAGAATCTTTGTCTGATTTATAGAATCTTCCTAATGAAAGGGGTTTTTGAAGTCTCTTGGCGTCCCTAGTGTTTGGGTCGCAGCGGATCACTACGCCGCGGGCCACTGTGCGTGCGCAGTGGAGAAATCTTCGCCAAGACATCAACGGCGCAATGAAGCTGCGCGCCGAGGCCGGGTTAATATTTTTTGGGCTTTTGGTGTATTGCCGCCGGGATTAGCCGCAAACATTGGATTCTGGTCCGAGGACACAAGAGTTCTACTGTGGCGGAGAGTAAACGTCAACGTAGAAATCCTGTTTCCAAGAGCTTTGGCATTCATAAAACCATGCTCAGCGGCACAGGCAGTCTCGAGCAAAGAATGGTCGCAAGCGTCGTTTAAAGTGACTAGTGGTCTGTTTAACAGAGGAGGTTTTCTCTGCGCTTCTTTGGTTCTTGGTTTGAAGAACCGTCGCATTAGTCTCCGAGCCCATTCCGACCTTCGAACTTTGAAGCCTGCGATAGCTCGGTCCCTTTAAATGGTTCTCATGGTTCGGAATAGTTCCTGAGAGTTGCTTGATGGCTCCGGAACACCTGTTGGCGCTTACACACAAAGAAGCTACCGGACATTCCAAAGCATCGTGTATTCATGCCTCTGAATCACGCAAGGCGTGGCACCCATGGACGCCTCCCAAACCAGCTGCAAGGCTCCTGGCCGATAGATTTTCGGTTGGGGCTTTGGATTCAGGCGGCGTGGAGTTGTAGAGTTTGGAATGAGTTTTTCAGGCTTAGAGACATTAAGGATGTGGTGGAGGGTTTAGGGTTGAGAGTTTTAGAGGTGAGGAGTGATAGAGCTGGCTGAACGCGAACTAGTTCTAGAATTGAGGGACGTATGTCTCCAAACCCCAAAATCTCGGTCCCACACACCCTAAACTTTAAATCCTAAGACCCTAAACCCGAAAGATAAGTACTCGCTGTCACACGCACCGTAAACCTTAAACTCAAAGTCGCTCAAGCCTGTGTTGGCAGATGCAACGCGTTGAAGCCAGCAAATGGGCTGCACCATGGCTTGATGTGCTAGCTTTGGCAACGCATGTGGCTCTACATGTGGCTCTACAGCTTCTGTTTTATGTTGGATCACTGCTGTCAAAAACGCAAGAAACGACAAGCCTTCAACCCTAAACTTAAGCCCTCAGTCTGGTTGGAACCCAGACTCAGGGCTACTACTACTGCTACTACTACTACTACTACTACTACTACTACTACTACTACTACTACTACTACTACTACTACTACTACTACTACTACTACTACTACGACTACTACTACTACTACGACTACGACTACGACTACGACTACGACTACGACTACGACTACGACTACGACTACGACTACGACTACTACTACTACTACTACTACTACTACTACTACTACTACTACTACTACTACTACTACTACTTCTATTTCTACTTCTGCTTCTACTACTACGACGACGACGACGACGACGACTACTACTACTACTACTACTACTACTACTACTACTACTACTACTACTACTACTACTACTACTACTGCTACTACCGCTGCTGCTGCTGCTGCTGCTGCCACTGCTACTGCCACTGCCGCTGCCACTGTTACTGCTACTGCTACTGCTACTGCTACTGCTGCTGCTACCGCTACAGCAAGAAAGACCCGTGAAAGGTTTTACAGTGAGTCCACGCACCCTTAACCCGAAACCCTAAACCCTAAGCCCTAGACTTGCTCAAGCATCTCTCGGCAGATGCTACAACGTATTTGTTTTTGAAGACGATTCACGCAATGATTTGTGCTCTTTGATCAGATTTGATCATGTTTGATCCTGTCAGCATTTGTTGCTTGCTGATCTCCTTATTGATTTCCACAGATAAGAGAGGAGTGCCGAGCCTGCGAGGTTAGGAAGGTCAGGTTTCTTGGACGTGCTGAGAGGCTCCCACGGAGCGATATTTGCGGACATCGTGCTTGCGGCTCCTTCGTGTGAGAACAAAGTGCTTGGCGCCTGTCTAGTTCAGCTTGTCTTCCACTTGGTCCCTGGTGGCTTATCGAGCAATCTATAATTCCTTGCTGCATGTGGGGGTGGCCGGGCTATGGCGCGGCTCTGAGCATGCCTCACGTGGCTGCGCTGGCGTTGTGGATGTTCCCTGCCCACAACTGCGTTGCAGCAGCAACCCTTCACTGGCTCCTGCGTCAGGAACGGCAGCTCGCGTGCGTGCCAGCGTCAGGATCACACTTGTACTTGTTCATATGCCACGGGGCTATTTGGCGCGGGTGTTCTCGGATAGGTGCTTGCGATGCCCCATTTCAATTACAAGGGGGCGTGCGGATTTTGGTAGAATTTCGCTCATTGGTTTCGAAGCTTGTTTTCCATTTTTTCTTGCTTCTTGTCTTCTGCAAAATCAGTTTCCCAAGCAGCTTTTGGAGAAGAATCAACTAGTCAATCAGCTCGTTGATTGGGATAAAAAAAAGTGATGCTCAGGGGTTGCTCTGAGAGAGCGGAGGGAAGATCAGGTGCAAAGGTTTGCCGACGCCACAGACAGAGAGTGTGTGTGTTAACACATTCAATAAAGTTTCGTGGCACTGTTTTTCCTGAGTTGGTAGTCTCATTGAAAGTTCGCCGCAGAACGCATCGGTTGCTTCCGACGCTCGCTCAGATCAGTCTACGGAAGTCCTCGGCACTGCCGCTAGAAGTGTCTGACGACAAGCGACATCGGACTCTACACATTCTTCTGATTTTGTTCGCTGTCGACCTCAGGATCGCAAAGCGTTCCGTGGTGAAAGAAGGCCAGCTTTCAGATCCTGACAGGGTGTGATCTTTTCTGAAAGATATTGATCTCCTAATGACCCTGATTGTACCGAGCTTGACAGCAGTTCTGAATGTGCTGTGTCACCGCTGGGCAAGCACGTAGACTTTCCTCCGTTCAGGTGTTCGCCTGCGTGCGCAGCAGCGAGCAGTTCTACTTCGAATTCAGCTGCTGTTGCTGCGTCGTTTTTGAGGTCTTCCTTGATGATGGTGCAGCGATTTCTTCTTCGGTCGTAGTTGTGACTGTGGTGGAGGTGGCATGCTCTTTGCTGTAAGTTTCACTGTTCTGATTATTGGGACGGCGCAGCATGCGTAGGTTCGTCGTTATGCGACTGTTCTGCTGTGGTGGCGGTGAGAACAGAC